TTTTCTTGCAGGCAAGTCTTCCTAGCAGAGATGAGTTGATTGGACCACCTCAAAAATGTGTTGTATGTGGAGATGAATTCCCCTTTGCAGCTATCAAGTCTCACAGTGATGAGTGCATGAGGTATTTGAGATTTATTTTTTTATGTGGAGTCTCTTATGGAAATGTTTATTTATCCTTGGTTTGGGCTCATAGGACAGAACGATTATCTGAGCTACAGTAGACTTTGTCAGTTTGAACCAATCAATGTTACTAAAATGTCATTATTATTGTTGTTGTTGTTGTTTTTAAACCCTTTAAAGGCTAAATTCACCCAAAAATGAAAATTATATTAATTAGTCACCCTCATGTCTTTCCAAACGCATAAGGTTTTCGTTCATCTTCACAACACGAATGAAGATAAATCTGAGCGCTTTCTTTCCCTCCATTGACAGCCTATGTAACCTACTTTAAAGGTCCAGCATGGTAGTGAAGACATCATTAAAGTAATCCATGCTCTCACGTCAACTCAACATGCATGCACTTTGGTTGTTTTGTGAGCTTGCATCTAAGATCTATATTTTGTTCAGTTTTTTTTTTTCTCACACACAAAGCATGCATGCATCACACCCTCTTCATACATTGAGGTTAAACCACTGGAGTCACATGGATTACTTTAATGATTGTTGAGCCATGTTTCCGTGAACACAAAAACACAACAGTCTCTTACAGTCCTCTGAGTTGAGCGTAGTAGTCGGATGTAGTCCAGTTTATTGTCCAAAGAGCGTACGTTAGCCAGTACGATGGTGGGGATAGCCGGCTTGTGTGGGTTAGCTGCTAGCCTAGCCCGGATACCTCCGCACTTGCCCCTCTTCTGCTTCCTCTCGCGCCGCTGTGGGCGAGATGCAGTAGTGGGGGTCGGTGATGGTGTGGGCCTCCGGAGCAGACCGAGATCCCGCAGCTCTTCGGCGTGCGCAGAGTTTAACTCTAAAAATGTGGTTCTGCCGACATCGAGCAGAAACTCACGACTGTATGCGCGCTTCGAGACAGATAGACGCGACGAATACGTACAAAAACACTGCGACTCACAAGACAAAAAACACTAAAACACCTTTCTGTCGGGAGAGAGAGAAGCCACAGCGTGTGCATGCGCCGCCATCTTGATTAGAGACACGCATCCAAACTTTAACTGAGGACAGTATCAGAATTAGAGACACGCATCCAAACTTTAATTGAGGACAGTAAGAATGTGAGGGCTCTAGATACGGCTTTGGATGCGACTAGCTCAGGGATTCCTGTACATTGTTCGGTTCCAGTTACAGAGCCTCTGCAGCAGGGCGACTGTTAGGCGGCATAGTCGCGGGTCAAAACATTAAACAGGTTCTCCCCACTCAGTGATGCACCTGCTGAGAAACCTGATCAAAGTGCTCTAGTTATTGGCGATTCTGTTGTACAGAACATGAAAATAGAGACACCAGCCACCATAGTCCAATGTTTACCGGGAGCCAGAGCGCCTGACATCTTGGCAAATTTAAAAGTGCTGGCTAATGCTAAACGTAAATACAGTAAGATTGTTATTCACGCTGGCACTAATGATGTTCGACTTCGCCAGTCGGAGATCACTAAAAATAACATTAAAGAGGTGTGTGAACTTGCAAGCACGATGTCATACACTGTAATATGCTCTGGTCCCCTCCCTGCTTACAGTGGTGACAAGATACATAGCAGACTGTCGTCACTCAATGGCTGGATGTCTAAGTGGTGCCCACAGAATAACATAGGTTTCATAGACAACTGGACGAGTTTTTGGGGCAGACCTGACCTGTTGAAAAGTATAGAGGACCAAACCTGCAGAAATTAAAAGTGAATAAATGAATGAATGAACGAATAAATAACTATATTAATGAATAAATAGATAAATAAATGTAATAATAGGAAAATAAATAAATGAATAATAAATGAATAAATGAATGAATGAATAAATAAATATATCAATGAATACATAGATAAATAGATAAATAAATGTGATAATAGGAAAATAAATAAATGAATAAACGACTTGATAAAATAAATATGATTCATTTTTAATAACATTCATTTTTTTATTTTCCCTCTTAATTTATTATTTTCTACTTTTATACATTTATACATTTTAAAACATTTTTTTAGCTTATTTTTTCACTAATTCTTTTTTAAATGTGTTTTTATATTATTTTTACATTTATTTTTAGATTTATTTATATATTTATGCATTTATTTTTACTTTTCCGTGTGTAACATGGAAATGAGGAAGGTGGTCCTTGCGTAGTTTCAGTGCATCATTGGTTGAGAGCTCACGCGTAGAATCGTCAGGCCAGGTAAGCGATAGAGATGAGAGTTTTCAAAGGAAATGGCGGCAAGTAGTAATTCGTTGTCCAGTTTGCTACGGGATGTGGCAGATCAGCTGGAGAGTTGTAAGTTATTTTCACCTAACGTTATTCGCAGTAATGTCGAAATATTTAAACTATTTTCCAGAAATAAAAACACGAAGCTGAAGCTACTTATGTGATCCCCACCACAGCATTGTCGTCATCGAGTCTGGACCCGTCGACGTCAGAGCCTAGGGTGACGAGACCCAGAGTCAGACACCCAGTGGATGGTTGGTTTCTAGTCTAATAATTATTCTGTAATCACGGAAAAAGTCTTGACTCTAAATAACTGAAATGGTTGCGTTTCTTAACCACCAATGGCTTCTATGAAAATTTGAACAATCCAGGGTCGTGGTTCTCTACCCTAGGCCCACGGCGCTTTTGGGAAACGCGGCCCTGTATTTTTCGGTTCTTCTTCCCATGATTGTCAATTGGGTAAAAAAAAAACGGTAACTGATTGGTGAGGGTATAAAGAATGAACTTCTGTAAATGAGTTCTGTTACTTACCTGCAAATTAAACGTTTAATGCACAAGTGTTTGTAGTACTTAAATCATAAAATTGTCATAAAGAACATGTTGAATAAAATATTATAGAAATTAGGGGTTATTGTTCAGTAGTGTTTTTGATTTTTTTTGGCCAAAGTTCTTCTAAAAGCAATAAGACATTTTTTATTAAACTTGTCAATTTGACAAAGGTCTGAAAAAAATGGTATTGCAATTCAGTTACTATTGTCCCCATCACTTCTAAAACGATGACTGGTGTTTACTTTTCTTACACTTTCTAGCTGAAGTTGCAAGACTATTTACGCCTTACAACAGAGGAAGAGGACTTGCAAGACGAACAAGCTTGCCTGTGATGAGTCGTGCAGTATCCTGCAGCTTTACGCATAACTTCTGCTGTCTTGATGACAAAAATGCAGATTTAGTACCCAGTCGCTGTGCAAAAGACAGATTGTTCTCTGCTGGGTTAGGGGAGAAACGTGTCACCTTTCGAGGTATGTAAAAAGCACTCTGGAATGTTAAGAGTTTTGTTTAAAAGTGAGGTTTTCTTGAACACATTTGGATTATTAATTCTTATGCATCATCTGTACTGTTAAAGGGATAGTTCAGCCAAAAAAATAAAATTCTGTTATCATTTACTCGCCCTCAACTTTTTGTAAACCTGTATAAACTTCTTTGTTCTGCTAAACACAAAGAAATAATCCAAATAATGCGTGTCAGCAAACAGGTTTGGGGCACCATTGACTTCCATAGTACGACAAAATACTATGGAACTCAGTGGTGACCCAAAACTGTTTGGTTGCAAATATTGTTCTAAAACATTAGTGCTTTAAAAAATAGTAAGGTCTGTCAGATTTGTCCTAGTATCTTACATTTTATCTTTTGGTTATTATTATTCGTAAAGGATGCCATGCAGATCCCCAAAAATTTAAGGATGTCATCGTGGAGGCTTTTCCAAAACTCAGACAAGGTGGTGGGTTTGAGTTGCTAAAAATATCTGGAAATACAAGGAGCCGTTATCTCAGCTTGATACCCTGTCCAAATGAGGGGTACCATGTAAAGTATTTGAAAGATCCTCAAAATCAAATTGGTCATGCAACCATTTTCATTCGTCCACTTCAACGAAACTTAGAAGTTGAATCAGTAAGTTACATACTTTCAAACAGAGAATGCTTTAACATTTACATAAAACATGTATGACATGCTATTTTGCTGTGATGTTTTCTTGCAGGCAAGTCTTCCTAGCAGAGATGAGTTGATTGGACCACCTCAAAAATGTGTTGTATGTGGAGATGAATTCCCCTTTGCAGCTATCAAGTCTCACAGTGATGAGTGCATGAGGTATTTGAGATTTATTTTTTTATGTGGAGTCTCTTATGGAAATGTTTATTTATCCTTGGTTTGGGCTCATAGGACAGAACGATTATCTGAGTTACAGTAGACTTTGTCAGTTTGAACCAATCAATGTTACTAAAATGTCATTATTATTGTTGTTGTTGTTTTTAAACCCTTTAAAGGCTAAATTCACCCAAAAATGAAAATTGTATTAATTAGTCACCCTCATGTTTTTCCAAACCCATAAGGTTTTCGTTCATCTTCACAACACGAATGAAGATAAATCTGAGCGCTTTCTTTCCCTCCATTGACAGCCTATGTAACCTACTTTAAAGGTCCAGCATGGTAGTGAAGACATCATTAAAGTAATCCATGCTCTCACGTCAACTCAACATGCATGCGCTTTGGTTGTTTTGTGAGCTTGCATCTAAGATCTATATTTTGTTCTGTTTTTTTTTTCTCACAAAGCATGCATGCATCACACCCTCTTCATACGTTGAGGTTAAACCACTGGAGTCACATGGATTACTTTAATGATGTCTTTCTTACCTTTCTGGACCTTTAAAGTGTTAGTTGTATAGGCCATCAATGTAGGACAGAAAACTCAGATTTCATTAAAAAGATCTTCATTTTTGTTCTGGAACAACATGAGGGTGATAAATTTATGACAAAATTTTCTTTTTTGCATGAACTATCCGCAGGAATGGACACCCCTGCCATAATGAATGTAATACGGTTATGATGTTTGCGTTAATGTCCCATTGTACCTTTGCCTTCAAGGTGATCCTGCAATTGGAGACGGTGTGACTCGTCATGTTTTTGCAACAGTCATGTCAAAACTCCATCATGGTTTTGAACTACAACTTGGTTAGTGACCTATACATACATGTTCTTTTTTTCCCGTTTTCTTAGGATAACTTTAAAAGAAGTTTACAGCAATTTGTTGGCATTAACAGTTAATTACTTGCCATTGGCCTTAGGGTTGATATTTTAAAAGGTTTCTGCATTTGTCTTTTGTAATGCATGCTGGATTGTTAAATGTTGCATGGCTTTATTTCTTTTAAGTGCCAGGAGGAACTCTTCTTTTTGAGGGTGAAAAGGATCACTTGATTCCCTCAACATCACAGAGTTTTCTGGATAGTGACTTCTTTGTGGTGGCAGGCCGTATGATCGGGCACTCATTCCTGCATGGTGGTCCATGCTTAACTGGTTTAAGCCCAGCAATAATCCACGTGCTTTTTGGTGGATCCCCTGAAACAGCCACCATAGATATACTGGACTGTGTGGACACTGATGTCCGTCAAGTAATAGAGATGGTTAGTTAATCTTTACTCTTATTAATTTTCATTAAATATATTAGCTGGGAATAAAAAAATTACTTAAACAAAAACAAATACACTGCACGGCCAAAAAAAAGTCACTGTTTAGATTTTAATAGGCAACTTCAGATACTATGGCTGGATCATAATTGCAGTGATTGTTTTTAGCATGTTATGTTTGCCAGCAGTTCATCTAACACTAATTGATGGAGTGTGTAGCTTTTCATTTCTTAAACAACCATGTAGGAAGACTCATCATGGCCATATACCAAGATGACAGTGTCAAGATTGATTAGGCTCAAGTTGTGAAAGAATGGTTGGAATGGACCATTAGGAATCATTTTCACACATGAATTGGCACCTGAGTCCCGACATTAACCTCAGTGAAAGTCTTTTGGATGTGCTGGAGACTTTACAGAGTGCTCACCTCTTGCATTGTCAATACAATATTGACTTTTAAGTATTTGCCTATTAAAATCCAAACAGTGACTTTTTTTTTTTTTTTGGCTAGGCAGTGTATATAGTTATTATAATTTTATGACCAGTTGAAAGGCACAGGTGAATTATCAGAGGAGGAAAAGAGGGCTATTACAGACCTTGCAGTGTCCTGGGATTTGCCTGGTGTGACATCAGAGAACAGAAGATGGCTGCTTGACAAACTGCTCATTCATGCAGTTAGTATGCATTATTGGTTGTAATACTCTTAAAGGGTTAGTTCACCCAAAAATGAAAATTCTGTCATTAATTACTCACCCTCATGTCGTTCCAAACCCGTAAGACCTCTGTTCATCTCCGGAACACAAATTAAGATATTTTTGATCAAATCCGATGGCTCAGTGAGGCCTGCATTGCCAGCAAGATAATTAACACTTTCAGGTGCGACAAAAAGCTACTCATTTTTGGGTGAACTAACCCTTTAAAGTTTAAAAATGTAATGCATGTCTAAATTCATCTGACACATTGACAACATTATCATTACTAAAGAATTGTAGAGCTCAATATTACATAAATGGTCCATATCTTACTAGTGGGGTGTACACTGTATCACAAGTCCTAGGAAAGAGAAGAGGAATAGTGTCTTTCCTCTCAGTCAGCAAAGACACTATTCCTCTTCTCTTTCCTAGGACTTGTGATACAGTGTACACCCCACTAGTAAGATATGGACCATTTATGTAATATTGAGCTCTACAATTCTTTAGTAATGATAATGTTGTCAATGTGTCAGATGATTTTAGAGAGGATAATTTGGCCAAAACATGATGAAGACAGCGAGGCCTCTCTTGAAGACACATGTAGGCTCGCCGGATTCCTTTGCACCTTCATTGGAAATTGTAAGTATATGAGAAATTAACTGACTTTTTGCTTTAGATGCTACAATAAAAAAAAAATAAAAAGGGTCATGATCTGGATTTGTAAAATTATTTTATGTTTCCTGAGGTGCACTTTTTTTTTAATGCAGCTTCTTATAATATCTTGCGGTTTCTAATGAAATTCTGGACTGGATGGGATGTGCTGCCCAGGAGCCTAGACGTTGAGGTGGTGGATGGAAACCTACCCAAGTCTTCCACATGCTATCAAACTCTCAAGCTTCCTAGTCATTACAAGGACTATGCTGCCTTTGAGAGCGATATTTTAGCTATCTGGAGCTCAGATTATGGATTTGGAATGGTTTAAGTTTGTGTAACAAATAATATCAGATATCATATTTCAACTGGAGTTAGTGTTCAATTTTTCTAAAATCTTCTTCAGTCAGAAGATCTCAAACATGTTTGGTATGTTACAGTGTTCAGAGCTTTGTATTTGACAAGGCGATGCCAAAATAACATTTGATAAGAAATGTAAGAATTTATTTGCTTGGATGTACTAAAAAGATACTGTTCTAGATATTTTAGCTTTATTAAATGGTTTGGAAGTAGTTTGAGCAACTAAGAATATTCACTGGATGCAAGAGTTAATGCATATTAACCGGCACTAAATGTCAAAATGTCCCATTTTTTTCTTCCTGGAAAGCCAGTTTGTGAATTTTGTAAGCAATTTTGACGTATTCAGAACCTTGTTGTCAAAGTTACACCAAACTAAGCTTTGGTCAAAATGTTATTTGAAACATTTATTGACTTTGGTACAAGACTGTTCAAAGCCATCAATAAAATTTTTCAGTTGACCATGCATGGTTCTTGACTGAGAAAAGAACTAGTGGATCAAATATTTAAACAATGTTGATAATAGGTCAAAACAGGCATGTATATAATTTTTTTCAACATAAGCAAAACTTGCTGATGCTCACTCCTTGAAGTTGTGTAGTCTTGCTACTCAAGCATTTCATATAATAACATTACAGTCTCTCTGTACACCTCCAACACATTAGAAAGGGGGACATCTGGGTCTGGGAATCTTTCAACATCCTCCTGTGTAAGTTGGTGTTGTATTTGTACTTCAGGGATCACCACACCAGGTTCATGATGACCACATGGCCCTCTCCAGTCAATGCCATATTGCATGGCATCTACCTGTAATAGACAATTGATAATTAAATTATTATTAATAAATTAAACCAACATCTGTCCTACTGCCAGAGCTCATTAAGCACCAAATAGTACAATCCATACAGTAGTTAGGTTGGCTTGAGAACGCAAACCTACTGAAATGCCATTTAAACTTCTTCTGATACTTTCTGACTCCTCCTACAGCTTTAACTCTACATCCACCAAACTTGGCTCAGACTTTTCTGACTCTGGTTGCTATATCGTGTCTAACTGATCTAACTTATTTAAGATGGCATAATTTCTAATATTTCTACACCTACCTGTCTGTATCTAATATATTTAATCTACATCTAATATTTTTAATGTATCACCTAATTTCTAATCTATCTATCCATCCTAATTAATGTGTCATAAATGCTAACCAGCTCTGATATAAATACCTGGATAGGATCTTGAAGTTGATGACATAACCAGAGCTGTATTGGTGACTGGTTTCCTTCTGTCCGCAACTTGTGGTGGTTCCAGCCATCCTGAAAGTACTGAAGGTGTTTCTGTACATGTGGCAAGAAACACCGCTGGAGGGCATAGAGATGCACTTCATCATCTGGATTCAGAAGCCCGTCATTCTCAAGGTTGGTGAAGATTGTGTAGAAGAGATCAAGCACTCCAGCATAAACATCTCTCCACAACCTTTCAATCCTAACAGTAAAAGAAACCAAAATACAAAAATTTCAAGACTTTCAAGGACCAACATTCATAATGTACATCCATAGCCTAAAATGGGAATTTAAAAAAAGTTTAAAATGTAAAATAAAAAGTAAAATCTATTTAAAAGAAGTGGGGATTTAGTTTTCCATTCATTACAGACATTTAAAAAAAAAAAATTTCCAGGATTGATGGCATAGACACCTGGTAACAATTTTCTAACTATCATAGTAGTCTTTTATTTATCTAGAAACCATGCCTATCTTGGTAATTGTTTGCATTTCTGTAAAACAAAACAATTTTCAAGGGGGCCTGAAAACTTAGTAAGGCATTGTATATGTTTGATTATACCTCTGATTTTGGACACTCTTCCCTGTGATGTGTGAGTTTCTGTTCTCTCCTCTGGTGGAAACCATGAAACGAGCAACATCGATATTCTCCCCACCTTTATCTGATCTCACACGTGATGGCACACCATAAAGGTTGACACCTTCTAAAAAGCTTGTCAGGACTGTAGCAGCTTTATTATTGGTGGCAGAGTTCAAGTACACAATTAGACGGCTAAAGCCATCAATGCCACCATGAACCACAATACGCCACCTGGAACAGATATAAGAAAATGAATTTCAACAATATTAACTAGGCTTTTGAGTAATGATAAAAAAAGACATTCTACTTTCTATAGTAAATCAAAACAGCCAAAACAGTATATCACATACTTGAGACAATATTTTTTTACATACAGGGGTTGGACAAAATAATATGAACACCTGTGAAATAGACAATATTTATTTATTAAGATGTTTTACCAAATTTTGACTTTAATAAGGATTATAACATTATTAGACTAGATTAACTGAACGTTTGAATAGTCTCAAGGTCTCTAATTTCAGGTGAATGTCGTCTATCAGAACATCTGCCAGTTGGTTCAGACTTCAGAGATGTTGAAGGAGAGAATCTATTATTATTATCTATAATCTACTTCTCACTCTTCACTAGGGATGTGCCGATACGAGTATCAGTATAGAACGGTTCACGGGGCAAATTCCAAATGGAAGTGATCATCCCTATCCTCTTGGAGTGGGGACTTTGGAGTGAGCCAGGCACGTGTGTGCCATTATGTACGGCTGCGTTTACACTGGCACAAAAAATCCGATCTTTCGCTCACATCTGACACAGATCGGAATTTGTTGCACACGTGTAAACACAAAAACCCGCACGAGATCCGATTTTTTTGCATCAGATCTGAGCCACTTCCAAATGTGGATTTTAATCGGATACACATCTGATATCTGGACATCCGACCTACGTCTAAACACACATATCTGATTCTCCACAGAACTCCCAATGCGAGTGCGACACGTTTGCTCATAAAGATTTTTAATGGTGTTTTAATGCCGGCGTGCTGTATGCGCTCGCATTTTATTGAGATGGAAACTTTTTATAGGTAAGAAATTGCACATTCAGGAGCTGGTTTTCAAGCCCCGCCCCGTGAATTTTGAAAATACAACAGCTAAAAGCTACATATATTTCTCAGCAATGAGGTGATAACTTAGCAGTTTTTGTAATTAAACCGACAAGCTTGTTTGCAATGCTTCACAATCGCTCAATCGCACGTGGGTGCATGCGTTCGTTCTCTCTCTCTCTCTCGCTCTCTCTCTCCTTAATTCGAATTCATTTCAATAAATATCATCTTTATTTCACTAAAGAATTCTACCTCTAACGAGCTGTAGATAAAATAGTCT